GTATATCCAAACAGGGTCATAATCAATGCATGAATAAGTCTTTTATTGTTTGCATTTTATCAGCTCTCACTATATCCAAAGTTACAAGGCCTTTGCAATCTTCATCTGCTTTGTCGGAATCGTCATTCATTTATAGGCCAGACTCGTCATCTGTGCTTAGAACTGCAGTTAGCAGTCTGCCATTGCCATCTTGGGGTTATAATCTTCCGCCACAAGTTGGTCTTCTTCCTAAAGCGACAAAAGGTATTCTTTAGCCTGAACTGTATTTTTTAAAATCTTAAATTATGTCATTACATATCTTTTTTATGTATTCTTTGACAAATTTAGATATGTTGAAATTTATGTTAACATGAATTTTCACTTTTATGGTTAGAACATATGGTGTTGAATCAAAAAGTCAACCCCTTCAATTACTGCTACAGCAGTAGTAATGAGAGCAAACAGACAGATCAGGGTGACCAAGGCCAGCCAATTAAAGGTAGGAATGCGTGTTTTTACTCAAATCTTAATTTGGTACAGCCGAAAACTTACTGAAAAGCGTGAATAATGGACACCGGATATTCATTTGGATAATTTTTGGATAGCTTTTTTAGAAGAAAATAAGAAAAAATTGAAATAAATTTCTTTATAGGCTAAAATTAGTTTTTATATAAATTAAAATAACCTTTTAGAAAAGCAGCATGGGAACTTTTACAAACTAATTTGTATATAAGCTATTTTTAGTTTATGGAGAAACTGGTTTAATCTGTTTTGGTATTTTCTTCTCTTAGCAGTATTTATAGAGAAGTATATCCAAAGAGACAGTTTTTATTCCATATATCCGTTTTTTACTATGACTCCTTGTACCTTATCTCTTCTTGTTGGTGTTCTCAAGGAATTTCTAATAATCAGATTAGTTGGGGGTTGTACTTCAGTTTAACAGATTTAAGTATCGAGCGTTTATAGGAAACAGGCCTTGGGAATCCATGGTGTTTCTTGTTGAAGCTGTCATTTCAAGGAAGTACAAAAAAATTAAGACAAAGTATCTTTCAAGTTTCCATTTGTTCATTGGAAAAGAGTATTCTAAGCATGCAGACAGATGTGTGGCATGCAAGATGCCTGGTGTTTCCTTCCAGTGTTCATAATCTGTTTAATTACTATGCACATGCGTTTTGTTTTCCATGCTGTTTGACAAGTTCACCTGTCCTATTAAACAGCAATGCCAGATTTTGCACAAGTATATAGCTTCATTGGTTGTGTGTTCGATCCAAATGTGACTAATCATTTACAAACACTGCAACAGATGGACCCAATAAATGTGAAAACCGTAAGTGACCGCAAGTCTTTTATTTTTTTTTGGCCACATACCATTTGTTTATTTATTTATTTCTCTGCTATCTTATGGTGTCTTGGTGAGTGAGTATCCAAGGTTTGAGCTATCAGACTACAATTGATAGGGAAGCCTACTGTTTATATAGCTTAAATTATTGGCCAATGTAGCAGATTTATATGACGATTTTCTCTTTAGCAGGTATTGCTGCTGATGAGAAACCTCTCCACCAATTTAAGAAGTCCTGAGTTTGAGAATGAAGTAAGTGTTCTTCTTAACATTCTGCGTCTCATTCGTTGGTACCTTTTGGTCAGTCTATTACTTTTTGCACACATGAATATATTTGGATACCTTTTCATCTCTTGACCTTCTACCTCATTTATTAGATATTATGATGCTTGTTGTAAGAGGATGTCTTCAACTGTGGGATTATGTTAATGTAATAAAAAAACTGATTTTGCAATCTAGGTATTTTGTTGCTGGAAACTACAGAGTGCAAGGTTTAAGTCTGGGACTACAGAACTTTTTTTGATGGGGCTTCTGATTCAAAATTGATCTTTGTTTTTTCGTATTGAATGCTTTTCTTTGCTTAAAACAAAAAGTTGAATTATTCTGATTATGTCTGCCTATAGTTTTAGTGTTGAATGTCAACAATGCAACATTGTCTGAAGCTGACCATAATAAAATAAGCACTTTCAAACCCATTTCTGATATTGTAAATGGAAGATGAATTACTCTGTGTAATAGTATCTTGAAGCAGTATTTAATAAACTATATCAAATACTTTTAATTACTTGAAAGTAAGTTTGAATGATTTTTGCACTTTCAAAATAATAATTATTTCCCTTTTCTTAGACACAATCTATTTCTGTTTTCACAACTAGTGTCCTAATGGAACCCTGTAGAGTTTTCCTTAAATAGTTTGAATAGTTTTTCTTCTGCCCATTTTATACCCATGTTCTGTGATAGGGTGCAAGGATAGAATACAGAGTAGTGGTAATAAAGAGACTTAATTACATGAGAAATAAGAAACTTAGAAAAGCTCTTTAGGTGGTGTTATCAGAATTAGAGTTTCACTAATATACATAATTTGTTAGTTCATACTTTTACTACACTGATTGCTGAGGTGAAATTTCATGTGTTATTGTTTTTCAGGCAGAAGAATTCATTCTCCTATCATTTTGCTGAAAAAAATCTTAGCATCTTTATTGATTTATTGAATTTTACTTAACAAATATGACATCAAAATCTATACTCAACGATTCACTTTTCACCAAACATTTGGAATTAATGCAGAGAAGGATGCTGTCATTGTACAATGCTAACTCAGAGAGAGCAAAATCATCTGGGCCATCTTTAACTGACAGATCAGAGAGTGTTATCTTATCTGCTTAAGGTGTTAGCAGTGGTTTGTGCCTGAACACAGATTTTAAATATTTTCTTAAAACAAAATAAGCTTCCCTCTCAGCCACCTATATAACTCCAAATGGTGAAATATTGGACACACAAGAGGAGCAAAGATCACAAGTTCTACTAACATTTTGTAAAGTGCAGATAGTTGCATGTGCATGTAATTTACTTTCATTTGGGTTTTGTGTGCATCTTATAAAGATGGCTGTCCTAGGAATGCAGGATAATGAGAGAATCCTGTTGAGGTAACCTTTGGAGGCTGTACTGTACAGAGAATATTGAGAGCTTGTATATGTAATTTAAAACCTTCTTTATACAAATCAGCATATAAGAGAAGTGCTATTACCTAGGAGCTGTTGCCTATGTTGTATATAAATCAATAAACAGCATTATGCTTCTGAATATTATAGCCACACTATCTTCAACTCAACATTATGAGATGTTTCGCATTCCTTCTGATATCTCACTCAGAATTATATTCGTTCCATCATATTTATTGAGTGAAATATGTTTTAGGTTCATTAACTTTTTGGTGAAAATTAAAAGTTAGTTCGTTTTCAAATTTTTGGACTAATTTAGTTTCTCATATTTAAAACAGTGTAAATTTAATTTTTTAATCAAATTTTATTAAATTTATTTGAAGTTTCAAACATGTTTCTTGATTAACATCAAAGAAAAAATGTTTTAAATGGGGTAAACAATACGGATATTATTATGAAATGTTTCAAATATCAAAACAATATTTAATAAAGTTTGATTAAAAAGATTAAATCTAACATTTTTAGCTAAATTGGATCAAAGTTTAAAAAAGAGACTAATTTTAATTTTAACTTAAAATTAAGATACCAAAAATATATTTAACACACTTAACTATTTCAACTTCATTTTCTGTGATTGAAAATTACTTCACAATTGTGAAAGTTTCACAATAGTAATATCATGGTTACGATTAAAAAGTGGACTTTAAACTTAACTCAATCCCACAAAATCAATTTATAAGGTGAGGTTTGCACTTGCTTATATACTATAAATTGGTATTATCTTTAGTCAATGTGAGACTTTCAATATATCCTTCACGCTAAGGTATATATATTTTGAACATGAGACTACACATTAATAGATTATCCGATAGTGGTCAGACAGAGGTGAAACAATATATTCACACGAATCTCGTTAGGATAAATTCTAACTTAACTCTAATATCATGTTAAGAAGTGGATTTCAAGCCTAATTCAATCCTACAAAACTTAGGAAGTAAAGATCACCAATTTGGAAGATCTTGAACCCTGATGAGGTAAAGAAATATAATACAATAATATGCTTGAAATAGAAAAAAAATACATTATGGAGGGTTTGAAAGACTTCTTTTATGATTTTCTCTAGAAATATAATACAATGATATGCTAAACACCTAGCGACAGAAATAAATACAGCTAGATGTAGTTCCCAGCACATTACTCCCTACTTAAAGACTTTATATACTTAGATTTAATAATTATTCTAACCATATGTATGTTTATCACATTTTTAACAAAATTGTGTTTGGATGGAAAATGTGATACATATACAATGAAAAAGTAAACAAAGATCCTAAAACCGTGAAATTGAAAATGTAAGGAATTGCATAAGTTAAATACCTACAATATTTCCAACTTATCCGTAAGGATGACACATAATTGTCATTAACATTTTCATAAATTGAAAAATTGGGTTACAAGTCATAATTAGTCAAAACCATATTTTACAACGAGACTCCCAACTTTTTTCCTGACATTTGCTTTGTGCCAAAGAATTAAACATGACTGATATCTAAAGATTTACATTTTTTAAAAAGTTACAGCCTTTTTCAGCTTCGAGGGAAGGGAACAAACAAACAAAAGTGTTCTGAAGAAAAGAATCCAAGGAAACAATTTTTCAAATTGTTAGTTCCTAATTATCAGTTTAATCTCCCTTTTCTATTATTTTTTTCTTGGATCAATCATCAATATCCCGAATTTCTTTCTTTACTTTTGGGTTCTCTTATCCTCATAGTATCATACCATTAAGCTAAATATGAAAGAATCATAAAATATCTTCATGCCACAAAAAAACACAGCCAGACAGAACAGACACGACTGCATTGCTGCCCAACAATTTTCCTTCCATCTATCGAGCCATTACTATCCCAAAACTTGAAATAGCCTTCTTCCTCCTGAATACAGCATTGGCCTTTGTTCCAAAACCAATGTTGGAAGCACTTTGATTATGTTAGCAAAAGGAAGGCAGCAAATTGAAATCCCAGTAAAATGCAAATTGTTGAAAATTCATTAATTACAGAATAGCTAATTTTTTTCCAAAGAAAAGCATCATATGAAACCCAACTTCCATGCAGGAGGTAGATCGGCACAACATTAGGTGAATACAATCTAGTATACACATCAACAAGGATAGATAGTACACTATCTATACCCAAAACCCAAGTCTAGCTCTTGACCATACATCCCCTGGCTGTGACCTGAAGCATGGATTGACTTTGGGTTTGACCTGAGCTCCATCTCAAAAAGCCTCTGAAGTGCTTCTGGATGATTTCTTCCACCACCAACATCAGGAGCTAATGAAATGGCCAAAAGTATATCAGGAATTGAAAATAGATTGAGACTAAAAAATATGGATTAAAACTTGTCATGTGACCCAACACCAGTCGCAAAACAAGAAAATAATAATCACTATCAGGCATGATATCTTCCACCATAGTGCGTTTGGCTTGGTTGTAAGCAACCAAAAATTGTGGCATCACCATGAAAAAACAGAAGTACTTGTTGCTTTGAGCGTGAACATAGAAACAGAATCAGGTTACCATTAACACTACCACTCCAAACATAGCATACATCGCTTGAATAGGCATTTTGTTCACAAAGTAGAAGCAACTGTGTAAACCAGACCAGAGCAAAACCAATAATATGAACCAAGTAGAAAAGTATGTGAATACGTGCATTGTGTCTGTTCCGTGTACACACTTATAAGTGTGGATGCATGCATGTACGTGTGCAATGTTTATGCTGACCCCATGGCAGGGTCACATACCCATCAAGGTGAATGAAACATGGGCAAGCAGAAGAAACTATAATGAAAATCAACTGTGGTCATTGAAATCCACAATAGTAAGTACAACTGTGCAGTTTTTTATGCATTCAAGTTAGTCACAGTAATAATACAAAAGGCAAGTAAGTACATCAAATGTTTTACCTTGTAATTGCATTCCAGGGCCACCAAAAGAAGGTTGCTGGTGACCACTAAATGGGAAGCCTTGGCCTTGAATTGGGTTTGGTTCCTGCATGAAGCCAGTCATCGGATTGTTGGGATGAGAAGGCACAGGTCCACCCCTTGGGAATCCACGTAATAGATGAGGTAGGGGGTGGTTTCCTTGCATGTGCATCTGTTGTAACATAGAATGAACGGGAGAATCAAACCCCGGTAGTGCACTGCTTGATTGATGGAAAGGAGGATGAAGCATATTTCCCGGAAATTGATGATTTGGTGGTGAGTCATGACGAATCATGCCCTCAGGATTTGGAAGCCTCATATAAGAACTAATATGAGGAGGATGGGAATCCAGTTGATTAAACATTGAGCCACCATGATTTAACTGAGGGTGGATCTGTTGAGATCGTTGGACATTAAGATTCTGATAAGATATGCCAGGTTCTCTCATATCAAAAGGACCACCATGAGGGTATGCTGGGCCTTCATGATTTCTCATAACAAGTCGGTCATCCCTAAATGCAGGATTCAGAGCTGCCAGTTTTCTGGTAATGTCAACTGTTGTGTCTTGGGACATATCTGTTTTAACTATATTTCCAGCAGATAAAAAGTTTTGCAGAGGATCACTAACTGTAATGAAGTTATCTTCTTCTGGAAGGTGAATATCACGAGGCACTTTGAAACCACTGGCTTTGGGAAATTCACTCTGAAGCAACGATGAATTAACATCTCCCTGGGAATCAGAATAACCCAACCATTGTTCATCAAATCTATTAGTTTTGGGTTGATGTGTTTGTTCTGGTGGCAGGACACCACTTCCACGTCTATTCAGGGTATGTTCACCGGTGGGAGGGTGAACATTGTCTGAGGTAGGGAAAGGAAACAGAAGAGGCTCTGAAACATTAGGCCCTGCAGATCCAGCTGAACCCCTTTGAACAGAAAGGGGTGCTCCAACTGATTGAAGCTCCTTCATAAAAGCTGACCCAAAAAGTGTTTCTAGTGTCAATGTCTTCGATGAATTGGAAACTTCAGCATTTTCTTCTCCAGGATTATCAAGAACATTGCTGGTAGTGAATCCATCAGAATTCGGAACCTTGTCTGTAGAATCTAGAATAGATGATAGTTCCATATCATTGTGTGAGGTTCCTTTCTGTAACAAAGAAAGGAGGTGTAGGGATGCATGATTATCAATTGAAATAGATTGCTCAGTTTTTGTATCAAGATCTTTGTCCTGAATGGGCTGCTGATGTGACGATCCATTTTCACTAACTTGTGATAAAATTGACTGTTCCAGATCTTCACAGGTAAGAACTGCTGGTGAAACCTCAGGCTTATCACTCTTGGACAATTGTGCAGAGTTGTCAATAGTAGTATGTGCTGCATTTGAAGCCATATGCTCACTAATTGGTTCAGGATTTCGGAGAGAAAAGTTAGATGCAAGACCGGTTGTTTCTACATTAGAAGTCTGCAAACCCCCCTTTTCACCACCAACAATAAGTGAGAGCAAGTCATTTGGCCTCTGTGTCATGTCATCCACTGGATTTTTTTCTGCAGTAAGGTGAGGAGGGAATGAACAAAATAAATTCAAATCGACTAACAAAGTGCAAACTTAAAAAGCATAATAGCATTAAAACCACTAAAGAACTTTTTAATATCAGTATACCTTCTTCAACAAACCAATGAGCAAACTTGGAAGATTGGAAGGCATGTGGACTCCAAGTCACATCAGCTTTATGATCAGGCTGCTATAAGAGCAAGAGCATAATTAATCAGCTCAAAGTAAAATTGCAGTGTAGAAGCCAAACAACTATATTTTGAGTCAAGCAAGTTAAGTATTCACTTTTTCACAAATATTCACCAGTTGTGGTTTATCTATTTTTATAACCTAAAGGACACAAGAAATAGTTGAACAAATATTCTGAGTTAACGTGTCCTTGACATTCTATAAGGAAATTCAGTAAGTTCCACAATTACCTCAATAATACTAGTAGATTTCTCACTGTCTACTGTTGAAGTATTACCAAAAAGCTTGTATAAGATAGAATTTGAATTGTCTGGATTGAGAACTCCCACATCCTCCTTTCCTTTTACTTCAGCATTAAGTTGAGATGTTTCCAAGACTTCTGAAAGAGCAGATCTCTTCCTCAATTGATCACCCGTTCCAATTTTAACGTCGGGACTATCCAAAACTGATGATAAATTTAAAATGTTATCGTTCACATGGCTAGTTGAAATATTTAGATTTGTGCTTTGAAGATTCTGTTGATCATTATCCATTTTCTTGGTTGATAATTCTCCTCTATTGTCAGAATTTATACTGAATACATGATTACCTCCAGTATCACCAGGTGCAGGTTGTCCAGCCTATGCAAGCATCAGAATAAGAAGAAGAAAAAATGTTTTAAAAAAAGAGTCAAGAATAATAGCACATATTATAATAAAGCACACTTCATTTGTTAGTGATAAAGTGACATATAGCAAGCAAAAGAACTACAGATAATTTGCTGTCCACGTGCCATGTTTTATAAATAACATTATATGATCTTAAAGATCAGCTAAGTAAAAATGTAGGGAGAAATTAAACTTCTCATATTAAACTGAGTTCTCAAGTTCTAGGCTTTCAGTCTTTAAGGAGAGAAGTATGTCCGCAGGAAAGAAAAAATGCAGCAAAAAATTCTACAACATGCTCCTTCATATTGATTCAGCATCCAATAGGAAGGGAAGAGGCAGAGCCCTAAACAATGAAGGTAGAGACTGTACTTATGTACCTTTCAGGTTATACAAATTTTGAATGTTGACATTGGAGTTTGGTACTCGGACATTACAAAATTTCAGCAGAATGTTCTTTTAAACAGAGTATCCCAATCTAGTATCTTGTATCCTCTCTTACAATGTTATCAGGGAATATCAAATTACAGAACAGTATCATGCACTCTTCCTTGATTGGAGATTGCTCTATAAAAATCCCGAAATCTTTAAAGTGTTTTGTATTTTAACTAATAATTAGACATGAAACCAACATTCAAACTAGGTAACATCAAATTAAGGATGGCTGCAACGACAGAATCTAAGTTTTGGTGGCTTGAAACTCCCAGCAAGGAAGAAACAAGTGGCTTGAATAAAGCCACCATTCACTTGCAAACTATTTAAGTTTATTAGACAAATGTCACTCTTCAGACAGTCAGGACATTTTTATAACCACACTCTAACTATCACTTTGAAATAATAAAGTCCTTTAGTGAATTCTAACAGTTTTGTGCCAGTAGAGCAGTTATGGTTGATTAAAATACCAAAATGCGTCTATGATTCCCATCTAAAAACATCACATAAGAAAGGACTTAGTTCTCAAACAAGAAATACCAACTTTCTATCATATCATAACTATTAACAGTAACAAAAAAAATCCCTACCCAAAGAGATAATATTTAAAAAAAAATAAAAAGATATCGAAAATTAAAGTTTATGAGTAAAATTAAGTTGAATGCCTTATTCCACAATCAAGAAATTAATCTTTTTGCTTAACATTTGAAATTACAGCTTCTAAGAATAGCTAGGCTACAAAAGATCAAAAGTAAAATATGAATAAAGAATGTTAACCAGTTACCTCTGTTGAATGAGTGCTAAGGGATGTTTTGGTAGCAAAATTACGTTCCAATTTTGTACTTGCAAATCCTGGAGGTACAAGTGGTCTAGCTGCTGAAAGAGTCTGTGAAAGGGAAGAAGATTTCTCATCATTGCTTAAAGCTGCTAGAGTCACATGAGGCTCCACAGACTCATTGCTCCTATTAACTAGCATTTTCTCATCGTCTTCAACAAGTGAAGTTATGTCAAAATCATCATTATTCTTCTCCGGGTCCAACTTATGCTTATCTTGGAAAGCTTTATGCTGTTCCTTTCTCATCAGTTCAAAAGAAGCTGGCAAAAAAGTTGTCATCCATTTAATAAATAATTCACTAGGCATGAACTTAACAATGACCCTAACAAAGGAAAACAGAACTTCTAAGGACATAAATAATGAGAACACATACTGAAAACCACAATATCTTCTAGAAAAGAACAGTTACCTCTTCTTTTTCTTTCCTCTTCAGCCCTGTCCTCACTTGTATACTCCGAAGAACCAAATGTTTCATCATTATAAGAGTCATTAGTCTCCCTACGTGAGTGAGGTGCCTGGAAAGCATCCAAAGCAAAAAATAACATCAAGAATTGAAGTTAATAAAATTAAAATATGATTTCAATATTATCCATGGTATCTCCACAAAAATGATAATCATACTTTAGAGTAAGGAGTTGTTGGAAGTAATTAATATTGCAATGTAGCCAGAATACAGTTTTCTGACATACAACAACTTCCACTAACCTTGTAAGGACGTGGAGGATGATATGGCTCACTAGACCGATTTAGCTGGTAGTTGTCATTAGCTTTAAGTTTGGGAGCAGACAACCCAGGGGTATACCCAGAGGGCCGAGGAAAAGAACCACTACCTAGAAGCCCATCATGCTCAGGACCTTGCCAAGATCTACGGGACTGATTGCCAAAACGTTTTGCGGAATCTGCAAATAAACACCGATAACGAAATAGAACAAAAGAACCTTTTACAAAAACTTCTACTTCAACACACCAATCAATGACTCCTAGATATAGGCAAGAAAGTCATCAATCCAAACAGTTTAACCGTGTACATATTAAAGATTCTTCCATTAAAAAAACAGGATTATTCTTTGCTGATCAAGTGTAAAAACCTGAATCCCATTCGGATTGAGAATCACTGTCTTTATCAGACCGTCCAGAAGATCGAGTCTCCCATTTTCCATGGACTCCCCGCGGAAAGCTATCCCCTCTGGTGGGAGGGGACGAACCATAGTCATTACGTCTAAAGCTATGCATTGACAAACCGCCTGAACTTCTTTGTCTATCTTGAGAAACATCTTCAAGTTCACTGTTTTCAAAATAAACAGATAATGGACACAGATGACGAACAAAAGCAAGACATAACACAATAACCGAAAAGAAAATTGATGCTTTCCTGTACAAGTTAATTGACTTGCTTCCATCACACGAGTAGAAACAGATGATGCAGCACAAAAAACTTTACCTTATAAGCGATCGATCAAACCCACTAGGAAACTCTCTGCATATATCCAATCCACTTAGCGATAACAAAAATTCCCTCGTGTATGAAATTTTTATCTTCCTGAACCACCACCCAAGGATTAGTGTTACAACACATATCTTATTTTGATTTTGATGAAAAACATGTATAACAAGCAACAATATTATCAAAGAAGAAAGGTTACTTTGGCAATCCTTGATCAGATTGATCAGTAGCCTGATCCAACAAGTTCTGCTTTTCACTTTCAAAGCTCATTTTGTTCTCTCTACCTAAGAATTTCTCTCCGCAAAGTTGGTGAAAATAGTGAAATATTTCCAACCAATTTATAATGCAAAGTATCAACCACAAAGAGCACTAGTCAATGGCCATCATCACTTACACAATTCATAACGCAAGCTCACCCATATAACCAAAAACTCTTTTGCTCCTAATACCAAACACAGAAAAGTAAAAACCCACAAATATTATTATCCTAGCGTAAGCACGAGGTGAATTCCCGCTTATCCATCGCCCACTTATTCAATCTATGATGTGTAAATCTTCAAAGCCAAGAAAACAAAGAACTCGGAACCAATATACACAGGCAAAATTCTAGCCACTGATCCAACTCAATCAACAAGACCCACTATCCAAAACCCTCCCAAGCTTCCTCCTTTGTGAAAAATTCGCAATACCCATCACCTAGAAAGATGAAAACCACTCTCCTCTTCAATGAATTTCGTGAGAAATATATATACAGTTCATCACCCAAAAATCATAACGCAGATTCATTGTTGAAAGAAATTAAATTCAAAATTTGTGGAATACCAAAGAAAATTGGCTCCAAGAGAAAACGAAAGGGACCGTAACCATTGAAGGGTTTGGACCTAATCTAAAGCTCCGCCGTGAAACTAAGAAAAAGAAATGAAGAGAAAAAACTAGGGTTTTGAATTTTTACAGAGGACCTGCGTGGATCGAGGGTTATGGAGAAAATCGATCACCGAAAGAGCGTGGAATCGAAATCTCGGTGAGTTATGGCAGTGATGGATCGCAAAGGAGGAAGAGGGAGTGAGCGAGAAGAGAAAGAGATTTGAAGTGAGAGAGAGAAAATCGTTACTATTATGGTGTTATAATTATCTACGCCAGGCATTGGGATAGGAATGCTTTTTTTTTTCTACGATGATAAACAAATTAGTAATAATTATAATTAGTGCCTTAATCTCCCTTCAAAAACATCATTTAATTATTACTACTTTCTAATAAATTATACGTATATACAAGTAAATAGTGTTCGCGGTTTAAAGGAATTTTTCATCATTATCACATATTAGTACATTTATGAAAATTTTCTTATTCTTTTCATGATAGTTATGATACAATACCTTTTAATTTAATTCATCTTTTTTGAATATTTGTATTTAGATTAGGATTTATTCCAGATTTTACCTTTTTTAACTGGATAACTCGTCTGTGTTATTTTCTTTGAATAACTATAAATAACTAATGTAAGCAGATGAAATGAAAATTGTACCTATTGTATTTGCTAATGTATTATTTTATTTTATTTTTTGTTGGTAGAAAACTTTAATTAATGATGTATTTCTCCTTTTCTTCTACTTTTTATTTCTAAACCGTGTGAAATGAGAAATGTAATTTAAAATGGTAACTTTAGTTCGAAATCTAAAAATTTTATAATAAGTTCAAATTATGATTTTGTTGTATGAGTAAGAAAAATTACTAAAGTGCATAATTATAAATGTAAATTAATTTTTAGTTTTATTTGATACTTGTGAATAACATAATCATAAGCTGGATTATGTTAGTTTTTTTAGTTTTTAAAAATACTGCATGTAAAACAGTAATGCCCATACAAAAGGGAATAATTTTATTTAAAAATGATTGATTTAGGAAACTTTAAAAAAAATGTAAATGAGTATAGTTGTGTTTCGAATGATAATTTTAAAAAATAAGATGTAATTTTAAGTATGACTTTGGTTTTTTTAATTACTATTTTTTATGTTAAAGTTGTGTATTTTTTTAATAGGAGTTTAATATTTGTTTTCTAAATTCACTTAACAACCCAATTATCTTTCTTTTTGTACTCTTGTCTCTTCCTTGCTATATTACATTTCACTACACCCTCATCTCCTCCTTATTTTTCTCTTATTTAGGATTTTAGTCATTCTTTATATTCTCTCCTAATCAATATTTTAGGTTTTCAAAATCCACCACCACAATTCCACGTCATCTGCAGCAACATGTCGCTTGTCCCCTTCATCTCCTTCGATCCAAGTGTTGTCACGCTGCTCGACGGTGTCTCTTTCCCTATACTCCTCGATAACAACAAGGTACATAAGCTCAACGTCTTTAATGACACCTTCATGCCATCCACCAAGTTCACTGGTAGCTCCAACGTTTACGTTTATTTCAACATAGTGGAGTCGTACCGCAAACTCATTAAGAACTTTTTCCTCCAAGCCCTCGCCTAGTAAAAAGATGTACTTCTCCCACCCTTTTAAAATTATCTTTGTGAGTTATTTACAAAGATCCAAAAAGATCCAAAAGCAGTTGAATAAAAACAAGAAAACATAAAATCACATTTTTATGTCGGTTATAACACAACCGACATAGAATGTGAACTTTCTATGTCAACTGATTTATATTGATTCCAAAACCAACAAAGAAACCCAATATAAAAAGTTTTGCACTAGTAAAACTTTTCAATTTAATTTATTTGTAATTGAGGTTAATATTAAATATTATAAGAAAATTAAATATTAAATATTACACGTTGAGGAATGTGTCACGTGTTTAATCTTTATTTTTTGAATGAAAATTAAATATTATAAGAAAAAACACTAAATTCGAAACTTATTTCATGGTTTTTATTTTGTTATCTAAAATTTGTAACTTTTTTACTGTTATATTATAACCCTTGTTATAAAACTTATGAGTTTATGTTAAAGTCGCGTATTTATAAATGAAAGTTACAAATTTGGAGATCAAAATTACAAACTCAAAAAAAAAAATGGCACAATGTGATGTTTTATAAATATCAAACTGCAATCCTTTAAGAAAAAGTATCAAACTGTAACACTCGACGTAAAATCAAAGCAAACAAATCCTTTCAGGGAACTTGTTACGAAATAATAATAATAATAAAATTAATGAAATGGAAAACATTTTATACACTCAGAATCTATTTTTTTATTGTTGACTTTATATTTTAAAATTATCAAGAAATTTCTTAATTAAAACCTTTGAGTATTTGCGAAATATTTTTTTCCCATGTATGCGTAAATATATTATTGAAAAAAAGTAAATTAAATGGAGAAAATAAATAAGAGTGACGATAACTTGAAAGGTAAAAAAGCTATTAGCTTAAGAAAGGTTTTTGCTTTCATTTTGTGCTAAGCAAACAACACATAGTTATTGACTCATTGTTGGTAAAATGGAAAAGGTGAAAATAAGAAAGAAACAAGGAAGAGAAACAAGAATAATAAAACAAGAAGAAAGTTGTGACGTTTCATTGTGAGTAAATAAAATAGATTGGGGAAAAAGTATTCCAATCCTTTAATTTTCTTGTTGACGTGTACATAATGTAGCTTGAAAAATGCATGAAAATATTTTTGTGACTGTAAATTTATTTTAAAAAAATAATCTATTTAATATAATCTCTTTTGTTTATGGCAGTTAAAATATTTTTACACATTAAAGTTCCTTTTTGTTGATAATTTAATTAAAAAAGTAAAGGTTAAATAGTTTTTTGTGTTCCATAACTTTAAGTTAAAATTAAAATTATCTATCTTTAAAATTTTATCTTAATTTAGGCTTTCAACTTTAAAAATACGTTAATTTAATTATTTTAATCAATTTTTAAGCTTATTTACATTTTAAATACTTTGATAATAATATTTCAGTTATTTACAACATATTTTTTGTTTTAATATTAGTTAAGAAATGCATTTAAAATCCCAAAATTTTTTAAGAAAAACTAATTTCAATTTTCTTTTAAAGTTAACATACTAAAATATATTTAACCATGTAATTACTTATTTATATTTTTCTTAAACCAAAAATATTATATTTTAATCCAATTGTCACGTATTTTTATTTAATTTATATTTAAATTTTATCCTCTTTTTTATATTTTTTTAGTTCTAATTTTTTCATTTTCTCTTGCCAAAAACCCGTTTGAATTTGGTTGAAGTTATAAGACTTTATCATAATTCACTTGGGTCAAGATAAAAAAGATTCACAGGATTAAAAAATACATATAAGAAAAAGTTCAAAAGACAAAATTAAAAAAAAAAAAGTTTAACCAGTCATGGTCAATCTATAAGCTAGTCTATTCAAGTCGGTCTCCAATCAAGTAGATTGTTTGGGTTAGATCTAGATCACCCTAGTCAAACTAAGGTTGAGTCAAATTGAACCCATGTTGAGTCAAGTCATGTTAGGTGCACCTCAAACTAAGGTAAGTCAAATGCACCTCAAATTAAGGTAGGTCGGACACACCTCACATCGAGGTAAATCGAACACACCTCAAATTGAGTTGAGTGAGGTGTACTCAAGCTCAATCAAGTAGAGTAAAGTCTACATTGCACCCATGTCAGGCTCAGTCAAGTTGGATCCACATGAGACTAAGTATAGCTTAGCCTATGTTAAATTGAGTTAGACTAAATCCATATATTGGACCCATGTTGGGGAAGTCAAATTGGACTTACTTTGGATTGGGTTGAGTGAAACCTACTTCCAACCAAGTTTATTTGAACACACCTCATGCTCAATTGAGTTATGCTCACCTTTTATTCAATTATTTAAAGCAAAACTCAACCAAAGTCGAGTCAAATCCACTTTGGACTAAGGCAAGTCAATATTGTGTTAGGCCAAGTCGAGTTGATTCAAATCCATGTAGTATCGAGTAATGATAGATCCATATCAAGTTGTGTATAGTTAGGTTGGGTGTAACACCCAAATAATTTAAAGGGTATTACTGGTAGTAAAGACTAAATTAATTTGATATCAGATATAAGCAATCAAACTTTATTTCAATTCTTCCAAAGTACATTCCAAATTTACAAACTTTAAACAATATAGTCTTCACCACTTAACATAAATTCGAAATTAAACTTATAAGTCTTACACAACATATTTTTCCAATGCAAATTTATTCTTTTTACAAAAATCCCTGAGAGTTTTCCCCGCATCTCTCTCATCATCTCTAAGCTTTTTCAACCGCATCTGCAACATTATCTGCTCACATATAACATGAGTTATATGATCATAGACCAACAAATAAGGGTAAGCCAACCATATCATACAATCATTAAACTTACTTATAATATAAATGTTTCAATCATGTATTTCTGCAATTTATAAATACCATTATCCCGATGTCATTAATTCATTTTTTTTCTTTCTTAACTTCTTCAAAATCATCTTTCTCGTTTTCATAAACCTTACAAGTATACCATGCTTACTCACGAAGCCTTATGGTCAGACCGTTCTCTGCCTGCTTCCTTAAGCCTTACCTGTATACTATGTCTTACTTTCTGAAGCCTTATGGTCAGACCTGTCTCTACCTGCTTCTATAAAACTTACGAATCATATGTTTATGTCAAAGCCTTATGGTCAGACCACTTTCTGCCTGCTTTCATAAACCTCGGGTGTTACTTTGCTCATATCAAGCTCTCATGGTATAAACCGAACATACTACTCCCAGTAGTAAACATCATTTCATAAGTAATGATTTATTATATCCACTCCAACATTTCATAAAATCAACAATTCATACCCTCTTATCCACCTAACTCAATCATGTTCATTCTTTAATCATAAATTGACAATAACCCGTTTTGGTGTCAATAAATTAAACATATTGCCAGATATCATACTTCATATTATAAACTCATTTTTCCCATAACGAGTATAACTCAACATATTTTCACCAATCAAAGGTCATAGATCAGCCAAAATACATCAACATATCTTAGGAACTACATATTAAAGTTTGGGCTCAATGTAATGGTAAATGAAATATATATGAAGTTTTTACCATGATAACTTAAGAACAAAAATATAGTGTTCATCATACTTTTCAAAATTTCAAAATTTATTTCTCAACACATAGACTTCTAATTAC